ACACCTATTTTATAGTATTGCACACTCTCAGGCTTGAATTCTTAGAAGGAGCTGAACTGATGTAATGAGTAGGGACTTCTTAGGATACAACTTTACTGCTCTCACTTTCTGTAGAGCTGGCAGGGATTATACCTGTGGTAGACTCCATTCTGTCTATCGCTTTTCTAACTCTGCCCCTATGTCTGGAGTTTTCTCCATAGCCACATCCTACCTCAGAAGAAGAACTCACCCCCATTTACAGTGGTGCGGGAGCTTCCTGCAGACTCGCAGTGTCAAGATTACAGCCACATCATGCGGAGCAGCATCACATGGGAGCACAGCACACAACTGACAGTTGCCATGCTGTCCTGACTCCACCTGCACTCTGAGTCCCATCCCACTCTGAGGAGATGGCTCCAGCACCCACCACCTGCTTCTTGTTCCTGGAAGAGCTCAAGGAGTGACTTAACGCACTGAGAGATGGAGCTGTTCTCAAAATGAAACCAACAGAACAATAGAGAGAACCAACAGGGAACACTATTGCTGCTGGATCTGGAAAAGATGTAATCCACCTAATGCCATGGAAGAACACAAGTGGAATTGCTTGGAGCATCTTCTGAAGAAATTTCTGGATCAAACTGAAGATGTGCTTAACTCTTTGCCCATTCCTCTAAAATCTTCTGGATTCCTTTCACTCATTACTTACCTTCCCCGCATCTATATCTTGCTCTGAAAACGGATGTCTCCCTTGCCATGGTCTGCAAAAAGCAGCCTCTCTTCCCACTCGGCAGCTTTGCAGGAAGCCAAGGTCCATTCTCCTCTGCCCTTGGTCAGTTCAGAAAAACAGGCCTATTCTCTCCTCTCCCTTTAGAGCTGGGAGTGCAAAACACTCCCATTACAGATACCTGCTATAACCTGAGCACTAGTGCCAACCAGACTGCATGGTCCCACGGGTGGCTGCTAAAGAACCACGGGAAATTCCCTGGTAACAGTGCCTGGGGATTAGGAGATGCTCTGATCACCACGTACCAGCCACTAGCCTTAGCAGTGCCTAAAGGAAGGGGCAGGGCTTTGGTCATCTTGTAATGGTGCTGAGAGGTCCAGTTTAAGCTTCACAGAGATCACTGACCTCTTGCAAATGCTCTCCTGACAGGGGGACTGGGAAGGGGCAGAGAAAGGAAATCTCTGCAGCATCCTGCAAATCTAGATAGCACAAATTTGCTGCAAGGACAGGCGCAGAAAGAACAGTTAGAGGTGGCCAAGCTAATTAACAGCCACCTGCTCACACCCCGGGCTGCTATTTATTGCTCTGGAGACTTAAAAGACTTATCTCTGACAACCTTTTACAAACATGAAGTCCCCACTTTATTGACATCCTTATCTCAATGCACGAGATAAGAGAAGCTGAGACAGAGAGAAAAAACACAGAAGGACTCCCCAGGAGAACCACAGTTACAAACTCAGAGCTCCTCCAAAGAGACCATTAGCTTCTCTTCTCCCCTAACACTGAGTTATTGCAAATATTCAGAGTTCTTGAGTTACAGGTGACCAGTCACATTGTGCTTTGTCACAAGTGGAGAAGTCACATTGTGCCTCTCCTTAGAAGAGCTCAACCTTTCAGAGTCCCCTTCTCCCTCGTGTTTGTAAGAAGCCTGAGATAAATAAACAGTAGTAATAATTTTAAAAGACAAAAAAGTTTTTAAGAAAAGCCCCTAGTATTTCTGTTCTGAGTTTTCAGATTTTAATCTCTCTCCTTGTAATATAACTCCACGATAAAGTTCAGTGGTCCATAGAAAACTTCAGCAAAATCAGAAAACTCAGGACCTACAATTTCTACATGTGTATTCATAGAGGCACCAAAATCCCACAGGCAAAAAAAATATGGTCACAAGGGAAAAAATAAAATGAAATCTTTCTTGGGCCTTCTTCAACATAATACCAAGAATCAATGATGAAACACAATCCAATTTGTTTACCCCCAGACCTGGTCACCTTTAACAGAAAAGTCACTCCCTGTACGCCACCTGCCCTGTCTCCAGTTTTCATAAGCAGCACATAGAGCATTGGTGACCTCAACAGTTGCATGCTGTGACAATAAATAAAGTTAGAAGCCTGCCCAAAACTCCTCCAAGCCCTTTGGCCAATGACGGCCATGAACACATATGCGGTAACAACCAAGCAAGGAGGAAAACACAAGGTTTGGGGCTCCTGAGAAAGTTCCATCAGATGGCTTCCACTCAGAAAAGCTGGCATAAGTGCAATTTCTGATAAATAAATAAAAAGATGCAAAGACTGCTCTTCTCAGCCCTGTGGGTTAGTCTGTTGACCTGCAACACAACTAGCTCTAACATGGGGAGCAAGCCCCGACTGTGGAGTTCTTGCATTTGTCACCAGTTCCAGCTGAGAACAACAACAACCTGCTCCGGTCTGTAATACCCTTTCTAGGTGACTATGGGAAACAAAAAAGGACTAAATTCAAAGCAGGTTTTCAACTGGGGGGGATCCAAAACTGCTGACTGAGGAGGAGAACAAAGCCAGATGGCATATGCTGGTATTGTTAGGGATTATGGAGTGTAAGTCAATAGGAAATGAGCAGAGAAAAAGACCCAGTTTGGTCCCATGGCTCCTCTCTTGCCAAATGAACATACCGGGGCGACCGTGAAACAATCAGTTTATGGGTTTCATTCCCCTCCATCCCCAGACTGAACTTAAATATTTGTATAAGCCCAGGCATAACTTTTATCTAATGTTTTCCTTGGGGTTTACTAGCTGTTTAGAGCATTCAAGCTAAAAAGCATTCCCTCAAACTCTTGCCACAAAAAGAGCTGAAACTATGATACTAATTAAAACCACACTCCTTGGTATCAAGAAGACATGCTATTATTTTCTTTTTTTGCTCATGAGAAGCTGTTAATATGGGCAACACGTCTGGAACATTTTCCTTCCAAACGCCATGCTCCGTACCCCCTCCTGCTCAGGTCGGCTGGTTTATGAACTTGTCAGCAGTCTGGGGTGGGAAGGCTCACATTTACAGGAATAGATTTATTATTACTCTTTTTATAACAAACCATTTGCCATCTTAACTTTATGAAGAGCACATCAAGAAAAAAACCAAAAGCTTTATGCTGCATGAAAAGTGACAAGCTAAAGAACTGTCCTGCCTTGGTGCCCAATGGGCCAAATCAAGGGATGAACCTCGCCAAAATATATTATACGTTTTGAAAAATAGCCTCTGACTTTGCCAGGCTGCTCCTGGACACTCGGCACAGACCAGGAAGGGATGCACTGTGTACCACTGCTGGTCCCTCCTGGGGTAAGGTCTGTTAAAGAAAAACGTAAGATTTCATGCTCATTTTTCCCCAAGTAATTTGGATGCTTCTAAGGTCTCCATTACTGTGGTATCAGCACCTCACAAACATTAACAAATTATCCTTATAACGTTTCAGGGGAAAATGCTATTATCACATTTAAAGGACAGAAAAAAGAAGAAAAAAAAAAATCAAAGGCCAGGTTTGTGTTCAGTGCAATATTCAAACGCATCCATGTACACATGGAGGTCTGAGAGGTCTAAGTCTGGTTAAAAAACAAATTTCGTTGTCCAAGATCAAACAGTGGTGTCTCATTCAGAGCAGTAACTGCACCACAGAAGTGCAGGAAGCAGAGAGAACCAGATGCTTTGGTCCAATCCTCCCAGACCACCGATTTCCAAGTCCCCACCAATTCTGAGCAGCGTCCTGGATGCTGCGTGCTTCGCCAATGCAGCTCTGCAGTGGGTCAGGCAGGCTGCCACGGCTGGGGGAGATCGGGGCTTAGTCTCGACAGAAGCATCTGTACTGCTCACAAGGAAAACAAAAGTGGCAGGAGGGATCCTCCAGGGAAGGCACTTGTCCCACAAGTGTCACTCTCGGGACCACAAAAGTAAATAATGTTTCATTAGAGCAATTTGGTTTCTGGTTTCTGTTTGGGAGCATGGCTTTTGCTCTGTTGACTCAAAACAAAACTCAGCTTCCCTTTTTCGACAGAAGCATCTGTACTGCTCACAAGGAAAACAAAAGTGGCAGGAGGGATCCTCCAGGGAAGGCACTTGTCCCACAAGTGTCACTCTCGGGACCACAAAAGTAAATAATGTTTCATTAGAGCAATTTGGTTTCTGGTTTCTGTTTGGGAGCATGGCTTTTGCTCTGTTGACTCAAAACAAAACTCAGCTTCCCTTTTTCACAGCCACAAAGATGCCAGATTTTAATTCCTGGTGGTGCAAAGTGCAGGCAGTGGAGGAAGGGGCCTTTGAGGGCTGAGATATTTTATTTTATATTTATTTCTTGGTCATATTTTAGCTTTGAGCAAGCTCCTGCCTGCTTAGCAAGCTTCTAGGTTCGCCAACAATACAGAACAACTGCCTAAGTTACAAAAACAAGTTAATACATAAAAAATATGACTTCACCAAAGAAGTTAAGCTACATGGGTGAACACACTGTAATTTGTTACATGCTTCCATTGTGCGGCGATCCAAAGTAATAAAATATTCCTGTAATGCTAGAACCTTGAGGCCCAGCCCCGGTACAATGTTCAGATTCCAGTATTAGCTCTGCCACACCATCCCCTGGCTCACCACTGAGAGAAGTCTTATGCTGCCTGCCTCCCCAGCACTAACCTTCCCAGCACAGTGCTCCACTTGCCCTTTTATTTTGAATTTCACTCCAAAGAAAAATCAAGTAACAAAGTTATTGTGGAGGTGGCCATGACACTGGGATGCCGAGATGACATCTCACATCAATTTAATGCAACTGTGAAGCGCAAACCCATCTGCATCCAAAGCATCATCAGGGCTGGCTGCAGAGCTTGGTTTTTATGGATGCGGGGGAGGGCTTGGAAGGGCACCGGCTGCCTTGCAAACCCCACATTCCCTCTGTCCTGCTTTTCATTTGAGGCTGACAGGCAAAGCTCGAACACATCATTACAGCCTTGAGGAGGCTGCTAAAGGTAACACTCATGTTACAAATGAATTAATAGGAAACACTTACCTTCCCCACTAGCTTGCCTTTCCTGTTCATGCAAAGGTAGAAGTCTGTCTCCTTCCCTTTGATCCGGACTTGACTGCCAAATGTGTCTGTTTCCACTAGAAGCTGGGCTTGTAAAGGAAGAAGAAAAAAAAGCATTTACCAATGTGGTCCTATTAAGTCAGAGCATGCAAAGCTCATTGGCACGTTGTCCCATTACCTATACCTGAACCACACCACACTGGGATGCTCTGCAAGGGAATAACCCAAGGAACCACACAGGGGCTGAGCTCCAGCCTTGGTCACAAGTGCAGATCTGACATGTCTCCATTGACTCCTATGCAGATGTTCCACATTTAATGCCAGTTTAGTGCAGAACATGCATATACATGTGTGTGCTCCATCAGTCCACACCGACCCCACCTCCCCTTTAGCAATATAAAGCTCAGTGCTAATGCTCTCCTTCACATTGCAGGAGGGTTCTTGGACAGTAAGAACATGGATTTTATTCTCATGAAGATAAAAGATTAGCATGACAAGAATGAAGATCCTTTCCCCACAGCCAGCAGCCCTCAAACACTTCACAGAAGTGGTCCAGCCACATGCTCATGGTGCAAAACATCACAGTGATCTCCTGAAGATCACCGCAACAGCTAGCAGGGGAGAAATTAGGCACTGTTTGTTCTGTCTGACGAACACCCGCCCTGGAGACATCCTCTGTGTGTCTATCCATGTTCCCAGGAGGTCACTAATTGCTTTCTGGCAGTCCAGGTCCATGACTCCTGCTCTAGCTGGGAGAAATATGGACAATCTCATAGTGCCTCACATGTTTATTGAGGTGAGAGCTGGTTTGCAGCATTGCCAGGAGCCACAGCAGAGGACAGATTTCTGCTGCATCTTCATAAACCACCTGCCCCAACACAATTGTATTTGCAGAAGTGGCTGAGCTGTCACTCAGATGTGTAGCGTGCCATCAGCATCTCAAAAACCTAGACACATCCGAATTCAGCGTTTTATTCCCTCTCTGATCTAAACACAAATTCCAGTCATGCTCGAGGTTCAGATTCCAGGAATTTCCCTGGAGAGGCAGGAACATGCAGACTGGACATTTTGGTTCAGATCCATCTCTGATATGCAGGGGGAGAAAGGAGACATGGTCGAAACACAATGCAAGAATGTGTAAGTGTCAGCAAGTGCAAATCCATGGTCTTGCTCTGGAAATACTCATGCTTGTAAGACCCAAGCCTTACCATAGAAACATGGCTTTTGCCAAGCTCTGGAGAATGTTTGATCTGTGCTGCAAAAAGTCACATTCTTTTTAGCATTCATATTTCAAACTTTAAAACCCGTTAAGAGCATATATGTTCACTGTAAGGATTTACCATGGGGATAGAAATAGGAGTTTGTTTCATTTAAACACATTAATATTTTTCCCACTTGTAAAGTCAGCTTTTGGCTTCTGCAGCAGTGCAAATACCACAAACCTTTAACTCACAAAGGCCCTAAATGGAGTTTTCCCTTTGCAGCTCAGTCACATATGCAAGTTCAAGGTTTTCCAGTTACTAGCTGCTTACATGTATTTAGATCTAATTGTTAAACTTTTATCAGAGGGGATATTTAAAGAATAACTTCTTTCTGACAGCAAGTGGGATAATGCCTATATTATAGCAGAATATTACTTGCAATCATGCATAAATATGGATATTTATCTAAGTCTTTCAGAAATGCACCATGCTTTTGGGTATCTGGGATAGAGGGCAGCTTGCCAGCGACAGCCAGGTGCTGCAGGCTTTCTCTCCACACCGGCCAAGGTGGTATTGAACCACTGACCACTTAAGTGAGGAAGGGCCACGTGAACCAGAAATATCCCATTGTAGTAATGATATAAAGATGAGCAAAGCCAGGATGGGGGAGGATGGCACAGAGTCAAAGATGGGTCTTCAAGGGGAAGATGAGCAACATGGTATATAACTTGGTGATGGCCCACTGCTTGAAGAAGTTCAGGGAAGCCACTCAGATGCAACGCAGCATTAATAGACAAGGGTATTAGCTATTAGCTAATTAGGCAAAGGTACTACTACCTTTAAAGAGGAGACTGTGAAAGGTCTTCCCCTCAAATGAGCAAGGGCATTAGAGAGAACTAATGGTCAACCTCAGACGAGGTGAGCAGCAGCCCGCACAGGAGGGAAGGTTATGGAGCCAGCACCAAAGGTCCCAAAGATTGTCCCAAGGACCATGGCCAACACCCAGAGCACCAAGGAGTCACCCACAGACCCTCAGTGTTGAATCCACCCAGGCACGCAAATGGACCTGGGGCCACCCACCCTTTGGGTCAAGCGAGGGCTCCACAGCTTGCACACAGGCAAGAACAGGACACAGCAAGTTCCCATCTAAGCTGCAAGGCATTCCCTGTCTGTCCCAGCCTCAGTGCTGCAACTAAAGCTGCTAAGAATAACACTGAATATCAGATATGGGTTTTGGCCAGCCAAAGTAGGAGCTACCATTGATAAAGCACTCCAACGCAAGAGCCTCGATCCACAGTCCCACCAGACAGCCAGCAACCTGCACCTCTCCGACGCAGGTCCCCGCTGGCAGCCTGCACTCAGATGGACAAACATGGGGCATGCCGGCTCGCATTCCCCACCCCCTCACTCTGCAGCCAGTATGAGTAATATCCAAGCTGATTTTAATTTTAAAAATATCACCTTAAAAAGATGCCGGTTCCCTGCTGTGAAAATTAAAACCATCTGGATGGAGTGATTTCAAATAATTAATCTAGGTCTCCTTTGACACCATTACTAATTAAAATATGATACCTTCCTCCCTCTTTTTAAATAAAGAATTTAAATAAAGTTTAAAGATCTAATAAAATAATGTCATAATTTAGAACTAAATGGAAGTCACCTTTCCTGTGGGCTGCAAAGGTTACGCCAGCACTGAGATCCCCCCCAGGCTAGTGCCACAGCACGGACTGAGCAGCAGCAGATGGGCAAGCACCCAGTGCAACACCCACACTAGTAAATACACGGGCATACATACCCCAGCACCCCAAGGAGGCTTGTGAGCCCCAGAGATCATCCTGCACCCAATGTCTAGGAGTGGGAAGCAGAGGGAAGGAGGGTCAGCAGATGCTGCCTGCTCCCCCCTGGGACCCTTCCCCACTGTGACCCTAGCTGCCAAAGTACAGGCTAAGGTCACCCATAGGCACCCACTTCTGAAAAATCTGGTCTTAAGATGCTGCAAACATGTTCTTATTTCTAGGGATCCTTGACCTCCTTTCCTAGGAGAGATCAGTGCAGAGGGGTGGGTTCATAACCCAATTGGTTTCCAGCCTAAGGCACCCCTTACAGCTGATTCTTCTTTTTACAACAGGCATCTAAATGGGGGAGGATTTGCCCCCTTCTCCCGAAATTCTCTCAGGAGCCCAGACAGGGACCTTGGACAACACATCTAGTCAGCTAAAATCAGCTGGGATGAATCCCAGCCCTGAACACTGCAACAAGAGTTTCCGGGGGATGGAGGCTAGCCCAGAAGAAAGGGCTGCTGACATCTCCCACCCCACTCACACGTGGCAGAAGAAGAACTCACCACCAACAGGATTTTAATTAATATAAACTGAACTTGGCTTGCTGTCTTGCTTCTATGATAAAGATGCTATGGCCACAACGAAAGTGCCAGGGAAAATCCAAGAGAATTTCTATTGAGAGCTCTGGAAAAATAAGTCCCACCAAGCTGGAACAGTGTCCTCACAGCAGTCTGCCGCTCAGGACACCTGCCTTCCAGCTCCATTAGTCCCTGGATACACCGTAGAGAGATTAAAATCTTTATTTTCAAAAGCCCTGCACTCTAGCCTTCAGATCAGGTATTATTGTTTAAATTCTTTGACAGCTAGATATTCTGATATATTTTCGGGGGTGGGGAGCAGTGGGGAGCTAAACAGAAAAGATGTCTTTAGAGGGTGAGATCTTCTGCTACATGCTTTTGCCTTATTGGCCCATTTAACCTAAACCTTCCTGAAAACTCCCACTGGAAGAGACTGGAATTCCTCACATGTCTAGGTGAAAAGGATTACATATATATGTTGAAAAGCTATCTTCCAGCTAAGAAAACATGAAGTCAGGGAGATATGTGAAGGTGGCAGAAAATATGCCAAATTATCTTTCAGATATTTCCTGGGAGTGGGAGGACGGGAGCCAGAAAAGCACAGGGAAAGAAAGGAGAAAGAGGGCACCTGAGAAGTGTGAGGTTTACATATACTTATCACAAAAGCTTAAGCGCCAGCCAGTTTCAGATAAATAAAGAGATAAAGGGGAAAACACAATGAAGGTGCAGAAGGACTGGATACTTTGAGTCTATCCTCCATTGCTTTTGTTTTTTCCAGGTATAAATCCTGCAAAAGGAACCACAGTGAAAAAGAAACTACAGCCGCTTACGCTGCCCACGGGCATCTTGAAGCAGGCCAGCTAAAACAGATTTCCTGGGGAAAAGGCTCTCAGAGGGGACCAAGATTTTGTTGTTTTTGTTGCACTTTTTTTCTCGTGCAATTACAAAGTCGGGGAAACTATTCTTGGCACTTGAAACCATTTCCAGCTAATGAAGAGGAAGGATATACAGATATGTCGAGGCTGGGACCACAGCATCTGTGACAGAGCGCAGTTTCCAGTTTAGTAACTCTGATGCTATGAACAAGAGACAAAGTGAATTTGCATAGTCCACAGCATATATCGTATCTGATGGGATAGTAAGATTTACTCTCTGGTAAGACTGAATCTTCCAGCAAGAACCCCAGCATGGCCAAGGGTGCTTAAAATAGTTGAAACCTGTTCAAACACAGCCTACCCCCTACCAAAACCACGTGAATCCCTTACATGACCACAACACAGGAGAGAATGACCCTGTCTCCACTTCACATTTATGATGTAATGACGAGGGAATAATGCCAAAATTAGGTAAAGTCTGGAGGGCCTAATAAAGCCTGCAGGCTATGAACAAGTGAGGGAATCCAGGCTGCATCCTCAAGTTTTGTTTGCACACTTGTACATTCCTCCAAACTGTATAATTTTAAATAGTTATAACCCATACAACCCAACTCCCTTCTCAATTATTCAGGTCAAAATCAGGAGTAACCACC